TCTGCTACTGGTTCTCCAAACTACTCAAAATTTCCGCTACTGGTTCTCCAAACTACTCAAAATTTCCGCTACTGGTTCTCCGAACTACTCAAAATCTCCACTACTGGTTCTCCGAACTATTCAAAATTTCCGCAACCAGTTCTCTAGAACTTGTCAGAACCTGCTGGATTTCACCTCTGTAGCAAACCATCATGTACGGTACATTACGGGTTTTGAGAACAAATTTGTCCCCCAGCAATCTTTAAAAAAACCAGGTTGCTTAACTGCAATCTACATATATTATGCTAATGGACCCAATTTCCATAATTTTTCAAGTGGAGTGCAAGTTACGGTATGAACTTCTCAAAATAGTTATTTTTTACATTGTTATCTTTGAGATTTTTCATCGTTAATGCAAAATGAACACAGACTTACTGTAATGTAATCTGTACCTTTTTCTAGGTGAAAAATTTAGAGAATTGTTGGATAAATTCTTAAGGGTTAACTTCAGTAAAGGCTGCCCACCACTGTTTACAACTTTGAAATCTTTGTACTACAGTACAGAAAAGGTGAGTTTTCTTACAGCACCAATCTTCACGCACATCTTTGTATCTATAAAACAGCATTTGTATATTTCGCAAATCGTTCAACAATAATTGTTATTTCTGGCAATATCTGTTGGATGCAACTGGTGGGGAAGTAGGGTTTTGTTTTTTAGAAAAGTCAGATTATACCACTCATTGTCACTTCAAGGAAGTGTAGATGCATTAATTCTCACAATGAAAGCATTAATGGAGTTGGCAGAGATTATCAAATTAATTGCTTTAATCAAAGAAAAGGAAACGTTCCATTTTATTTTTATTTTATTCTAGATTCTGTGCCCAAGATAGAAAAACTATGAAATTCTGACTTTGGGATTTGCTGATTAGATAAGTGTGTGATTGCAGAAATGGTTACTATATGTAAAAGTTAAAAAAAAATGAGGCTGTAATGTGTAATACCTTTTATTCTAACCATGCTGAAAATATTTGAAAGTCAATGGTTTTTTTAGCCCCGTACTTCTCTCTCCCCTCCATTCTCCTTCTCCTATTTTCACACTATTTTTCCTTATTTTTTTACATTTTGATACATTGAATAAAAATTTAAAGAAAGAATGAAAGTACCCAACATTTTATTTGGGAAAATAACTGTTGCAGAAAAAGACTCTAGATGGCAGCAAAGAGAGGCAAGCAGCTCTTTATTGCCATCTAGTGGTTTTCCAAGGAGGCGTTTTCTGGAATGTACAACAGTGAGCTATACAAAAACTACCTTAATTTTCTGTCAAGTTAAGAAACTGCAATGTTTGTTGTTCGTTGAGTGATGCGCTTTACGGAGAGAATGAATGAACTTTAATTGAGACAGTAACGGCAGGAGTATTTTGACACAAACTTTCTTAACTCTCTTTTGTAGATTTCAACAATCCAAGAGCTGGTAATGAGTTATGAAGCTTCTTTGAAAACGTGTCACATGTTTAGTCCAGACGGTAAGCTTTGGTGCAGAGGAACATAGCTAAAATGCAAAGTTTAATGAGTGTAATCTGGTATTGTTGTGGCCCGCCAGTGGAGTTGGTAGCAGAGTCAGAGAGTGAGGAGGGTTGGGGAGGAACATGGGCCAGTCCTGGAGTCTGAGGAAGGCTCTG